TTCCCCTTCAGATCTTTTAATGGGACACCGAGATCGGGCCACATCTCCCATTTGCCAGCGGAGCGGCCAGGCTGTGCACGGTCCATGTTCACGGCAAGCAGATTCTCACTGTGAACCTCCGTGGAATACATGTCAGCTACAGCAAACCACACACTCTCCCCTGCCCCATTTGCAGGCAGGTGCACAAAGTATTTAATGCATGCTGCAAATGAGTGACGGACCAGGTGCCCTGATCTCTCCTGCTCCTCCGTGATATAAAGTGCCCAGTTTGTGCACCGTCTCTGTTGTCAGCCATACTCGGTGCTGAAGTACACTGTCAGGAGCTTCAGCACGCAAAAAACCGTGCCTTGGGAGCACCGAGGGGCTCTGTGAGGAGCACCTGATCTAGCAGGTCATCAGCAGGCGAGTAGCCATCTGTTATATCTTACTAAACCACAACTGGATGGTGGCGTCGGAAGACACCGATTTGGAAGAGTTTCACCGGCTTAAATAGCGGAGGATGCGGCCATCCCATGAATCGTACAGCCAATTCTGAAAAGGCGCGGTCCAGTCCGGAATGGCGTACCGTTGATCCATGCTTCCAATCGATGACGGGGCTCCACGAGCCAGGGACCAGCGTCCCAGTCGTAGCCTGTGCTACGACCCCCCGCCCATACTTCTGCAAGTATGGACTTCCGCCTGAGGCGGCGTTTACTTGTTGGCATCCATGACAGCTTCCCGCTCGCCGTCTGACCCAGAGGTCGGAGCCATAAAGATCTGACAGAAAAACGGCAAAATAGGCAGTTGAAATTCAGTTAGTTCCAGTGAACTTGTCCAGTAACCGCGCCAAGCGAAAAAGGAAAAATTAGACAGAAAATGTATCAGTTTGGACCCAGATTTAAGAAGCGGAATACAACAACTATCCCCCCTCTAGATGCAGCGTCCTCGATGCATGGCAAGAAACTGGCAGAGCAGAACCGGGCCAAAACGCGCGGGAGTTAAAACACTTACCTTTAACCCGCAAATCTTACCTTGCCCGTGCTCGTTGCCGTGCTTCTTCCAGCAGAGGTTTTAGGTCAGGGGTAAAGTTAGCTTCTGGTTCCCAACTGTTGTGCTCAGCCGAGTACCCAGCCCATTTGACAAGATACTCGTGCACAGTGTGCTTACGGCGGCGGTTTCTGCCTACTTTTCGGGAACGGTAATCCAGTATCCGTTCAACCGCGTAAAATGTCTGTTTGCCTGAAAGCCAAGTAACTGGTCCTGGCTCCGTGACAGTAGGAGCAGGTTTTGGCTGAAGCGCAGCAGCAGAGTCAGTAGTACGGAAAGGTCGGACTAGAGAGACATGGAATGTGGGGTGGATGCGCATGTCAGGTGGTAGTTGCAGCTCGACTGCAGTAGACCCAACCAAGCGAACGACCGGAAATGGTCCCACCCAACGAGGTAAAAGCTTACGAGAACCATCCGCTAGAGACCTCAGGTTCTTAGTGCTCAGCATCACCAACTGGCCCTGCGAGAAGGTGATGGCACGTCGGGATTTGTTAAAGTAGTCCGCCGTACGTTGCTGTGCAGCTTCAAGGCAAGATTTAGCGTCAGTCAGTCGGGACACAAAGGACTTGGCAAACGTCTTTGCTGCAGGCAAGTTGACGTCCAACTCCCGCCAAACAGGCAAGGCAGGGTTGTATCCGTAATTCAGGAAAAACGGACTTTTGCCAGTCGCGCGATTCACAGCATTATTAATCGCGAATTCAGCAGCAGTTAGATATGTGTCCCAGACAGAAGGCGTACGTCCGGCATAATTGCGCAACATATCGCCAAGAGTGCGATTCGTACGTTCTGTCTGTCCATCAGTCTGTGGGTGATAGGCGGTGCTCAGGTTAACACGCATGCCTAACAGATCACCCAGGGTGCCCCAAAATCTGCTGGCAAATTGCGATCCGCGGTCGGTCACAACGTTCTTGGGGACACCATGCAAACGCACTATGTTGTCAAAGAACAGACGTGCAGTTTGCTCAGCTGTGCAGGATGATACCGTAGGTGCCAGGTGCACCATTTTCGTGAGTCGGTCTACCATGACCAAAACGGCATCGAATCCCCCCTCAGTTTTGGGCAAAGCTACAATAAAGTCCATGGTAACGCTTTCCCAAGGGGCGGCCGGCACAGGCAAGGGACACAGGAGGCCGTGGGGCTTACCAGACAGGACTTTATTGCGTTGGCACAGCTCACAGTTCTGGACATAGTTCTCGGCGTCCTTAGCCATCCGAGGCCACCAGAATTGACGATGGAGAACCTCGACCAGACGGGTGCAGCCAGGGTGCCCAGCCAGCAGGTCGTCATGAAAACGTGACAGAAGATCATGACGCAGCAAGTCATCATTCGGAACGACAACCTGCCGAAAAGTACCCTCAGTGCGGATCCAAAGGCCACTGTTACGGGTTAAGTGGCCAGTATTGTGGTTATCGGAAAACCAGGGATCCGTGGCATAGGCAGCTCGAAGTCGTTGCACAAGTTCAGAGGGCACAACGGGTGCTGCAGCATGGCTGCGTGTAATGACTGACAGAATGGCTGCATGCAGACAAGGGTGCCGACTTAAGGCATCAGCAACGTTAAGGATGCCTTGCAGGTATTCCCATGTGAAGTCAAACCGGCTAAGGTATTCCATCCACCGGGCTTGACGACGGTTAAGGGTAGGCACGCCTTGCAGAAACGTTAGGGGTTTGTGGTCGGTTTTGAGGGTGAACGGCCGACCCTCCAGATAACACCGCCACTCCTTAAGCGCGTGCAGTACAGCAAGAAGTTCTTGTTCCCCAGTGGTATAACGGGTTTCAGCCCCCGAGAACTTCTTACTAGTAAACGCAATTGGTCTCCCGTTTTGCAGCAGTACTGCTCCCGTACCATGCAAGGACGCATCAGTTACGACCTCCACACGGAAAGGTTGGGAGTAGTCCGGGAAACGCAGAATGATGTCTTCAGAGACAATACGCTTAAGTGTATCGAACGCTTGCTGGCAGTCAGGACCCCAGCAGTCAGGAGATACAAAAGCCCCTTTACGTGTCAGATTTGTCAGAGGTGCGGCAATAATGGCATGGCGTTCGATGAACTTACGGAAGTAGTTCGTCAGCCCCAAGAACTTCCTTAGTTCTTGTAAATTGGTCGGGGTAGGCCAGTTCCGTACAGAAGCAGTCTTACGGGGGTCCATGCGGATGCCATCCTTGGAGACGATGTGACCAAGGTATTCGACCTGAGGCTGGGCCCAGTGGCACTTAGAACGCTTGGCAAACAGTTGCTCACGCCGCAAAATTTCAAAGACCAGTCGTAAATGCTCCAGGTGCTCTTCACGTGTCTTTGAATAGACCAGGATATCGTCTAGGTAGCAAACGACAAAACGGTCTATGTAGGGCCGAAAGGTTCGGTCCATCAGGGCTTGGAACGTGGCAGGAGCGTTCGTCAAGCCGAAGCTCAGCACAGTATACTCGTAATGACCAGAGGGCGTACGAAATGCAGTTTTCGGAATATCTGATTCAGCAATACGGATTTGATTGTACCCCTGCTGTAGGTCAATAGAGCTAAAGAAAGCCGAGCCACGCAGTCTATCCAGTAGATCATCGACCCG